TACTCTCCAGCCTAGATACCCTGTGTTACCAAGGGTCATCAAAGAAAGTTCAGCCTCATGGCTGGTCTAAGAGAACCTGCAGGCAGCACTGATGAAACCCCCAGTGCTGAGGAGGAACCTGTTCCAGAATTGATGGAAGCTAAGGCCCTCAGAGCTTACCCTGTCTTTGAGCTAGGTCCTTGTGTTCCCAAGGCAGCCCAAGGTGACAGGACTTGGAGGGCATCCCCCTATTCAAGCACACCTGTCCAAATCCCGGGACCTATGCAAAGATGGCCTGCCTGTCCTGTCACCCCTGAATCCCCTTTGGCTTTTTACAAATAAAGACTTCTTTCATGGGGCATGGTAGGTAGCACATGCCTATGATCTCAGCACTCATCTGTGATCCCAGCACTCCAAGGCTGAGGCAGGAGGATTGTCTCTAGTTTGAGGCCAGCCTGGGCTACATCATAGTTCCAGACCAGCCTGAACTTTATAGTGAGACCTTGTCTCAAAAACCATAACAAACAAAAAAACCCTTATAATTCTGTTCCTTCTTCATTTAAGGTGTTTTTAGCCTTTTTTTTTTTTTTTTAAATTTAAAAAATCAGATCTAGTGTATTTGAACTATGTAACTTTGGCACATTTTGGTAAATATTTCTAAGAAAATAATAATTGGTTATACCTACCATTTACCTGAAAAGATTTGAGGCAGCAACATTGTTTAAAATGTTTTGTATTTGTTGACTTGAAGCTATTAGTCACAGAATTGTCCCCTTGAGCCTGGCATCTGCCAGTATATTGGCCATTCAGTAAAAGTTTATTTGAATTAAATTTTATCCTAATCAAGTCTACATTATTTGCAATATAATTGTAAATTAAAATTTACTTTTATGAAACCTTAAAATAAAAAAGGATCCCATAGGTTGATATAGGAGAGATTTAGCATGCTTCAGTTTTGTGAGGAATGAGAAATCCAGTAAGTATAAATTTGTTTATTTTCAGGAGTAATGTTCATGTTTTGTGGGTAGTGAATTAAGTCAGTTCGATTTTGTTGGTTTTTGTGTGCTAGGAATTGAACCCAGGGACTTGCACATGTTAGGCACTCTACAACTGAGATACACATCTGGCCTTGTATGATTTTTTTTCCTTATTTTCTTTGTATGTTTTAAAGTTGTTCACTTACATTTTGTTTATTGCTTCCTTGTAAGTTTCAAAATTGAGGATTAAAAACATCCTGTTTCCAAAATGTAGTGCTTTCTTTGAATAAAATATTTTTTTGAGAGATAAACATACACATGCGTACATGTGTATATACATATGTATGTTACATTTTCATATGTAACAGTGTAACAGTACAGTTTTGATGACTTATAGTTTTCATTGGTGGTACTGGGAATTAAATTTAGGGCCTTCACATTGATCCACATCCCCATCCCTGTTTTAACTTAGGTTTTTTTTTTTTGGTACTGGGGATCGAACTCGGGACCTTGCGCTTTCGAGGCAGGCGCCGGAACCACTGAGCTAAACCCCCGGCGCCCCCATCCCTGTTTTAAAAAAATATTTTGAGAGCAGGGTTGAGTGTCAGAGTTGGCCAAGCTGGGCCAGACTTGCAGTCCTCCTGCCTTAGCCTGTCAAACTGCTGGGATTACAGGCCATGCACTGCCATGCCTGGCTCCCTGTTCTATTTTAATGAGGACCCCACCACCCCCACCACCCCAGTAAAGCATAGAAAGGTTCTGAGGGATAAAGACTTACAGGTAAACTGAGGAGGATTGGTATGTAACAACATTCGAAGTAAATGGAGCATTAGAATGGAATCTTTTTTAAAAGTTGAATATTTCTAAACCCCTATATTTTTTATGAAATGTAGTAATACTGTCTTATGTTTCAAATAGACTGATCTTCATCTAAGCACAGTTTGTTAACAGGGCAAAACATTGGATACTTTCCTGACCAAAACTAAAACATAGGCAAGCAGTCAAATGTTTTTGCTACCTTTAGAGGCCATGCTTATTAGGCAAGGAGTTTTATTTTTTCCTTTTAATATTATTTATCTTCTTGTGTTTGTAACTTTTAGTGTTTGTTTAAAAACAGTGTTCTAGGCTCTGCCTGAGTCCCATTGAATCTGAATCTACTGGGAAGATCAAGGGGAGTCTGGAAATCACTTAACACTCATTAGATGCCTACTAAATGCTAATAGAATTTTATTGTATTGAAACAGTGAAGCAAACAGTTCAGTGGAATAAAAGGTCAGAAAATACTTCTCAGAGTTAAAAACTTACTGATAAAAATATAGAATGAATGTGTTTCATAGCTTGACTGGTTTTTTGTTTCTTTTTTTTTCTTTTTTTTTTTTTTGGTACTGGGGATCGAACTCAGGTCCTTGCACTTGAGGGGCAGGCTGCAGCACCACTGAGCTTAATCCCTGGCCCGCTTGACCGATTTTTAAAAATTATTTTTATAACTTGATACTGTGGAAGATTTTGGGTCAGTTATTGTAGTGTGTATCAGGTTGGCTTTCCTCATATTTATATTGATGTTATACATCTTTAGTATAGAATATTACAGAAAAGAGATAGTTCTTGTTTTGTTTTATTGTGGCACACAATGTCAAATTGGTCTTTCACTGGTGATACTTTATTTCCTTTGATCTTTTAAAGTTGTGTTTTTCAGGCTATTTTATTGCCGAGTTGTAATTAATAAAACTTGGGGAGTCTTTTCAAATACATATACTTATATCTATCTGGATTCAAAATTTACTTTGAGAAATTCTAGTACTATATACTTCCGTTTTTTCTTAGAGATGAAAGTCACATAGTTAACCATTTAGAGAGTACAATTTTAGCATTTAGAACATTCTCAGTGATTTGAAACTACTACTATGAAATGCCAGAATGTTTTCATCATCTTAAAAGAAAGGCTTGTATCGATCAGTTGCTTCTCATTCTACCCTCCTAACAGTCCCTGGTAACAACTTGACTGCTTTTTGTATCTTACGAATTTATGTATTATAGACAGTTCATATAACTGGAATCATACATTATGTGATCTTTTGTGTTTGTCTTTCACTTAGTATGTTTTCAGGGTTTGTACTCAATAGTACATACCAGTAGTCCTTTTTATGGCTAACATGCCATTGTATGTGTATGCTACATTTTGTTTATTTTGTCTGTTTATAGACATAAGGAATGATTGTACTTTTGACTATTTTTGAATAGTGCTGCTATGTGATCATTGGTGTGTAAGTATTAAGTACCTGTTTTTATTTCTTTGGAGTATATACCCAATAATGGTATTGTGGGGTTCTGGAGTAATTCTGTGCTTTAAGTTTGCAGAGACTTGCCAAAGTATTACCCACAGTGGTTGCACCATTTTATCTTCACACCAGCAATGTACAAGGGAACCCCGGCAAGGGGTTTTCATTGGTATATTAAAAACCATTTGTTGAAACCAGCCCATTTGTCATCAGACTAAGCCAGTGTTATCTGTGGTGCTGTATGACAGTTAACTAAACAATGAATTTTGCAAAAGATAAAAAGTATTTATTTACAAGGTGGACAAAGTTTAGAGAGACTCGAGTCTTAAATCTGTATCCCTGAAGATAGGGTTGGGGGTATTTATAGAATAAAGAAACGTGGTGGTCTGAGGCATACAGAAACATGATTGAAGGCTGGAAAAGTAAATAGTGGGGGTGTGTGTGTGTATAATCAAACTTCATGGCTTCTTCATAGGGTTCATGTTCAGAAAATGATGGTGGTGGTAAAAGTGTTCTCTGAGGTTGTTGATTTGGCCCTGTGATGTCAAAAGGTCACCTACCCATCAGAAAGTATTGTAGATCTAAGAGAAGGTCTAGTAGTTTAAACCAGTTTTGAGCTAACTTTAGGTTATTGAGAAGCAGCTTAAGTGAATGTAACTGTCTTGATCTGAACTATATGTCAGCAGTATTGTCTATAGCAAAGCTAATAGAATATTGCTTAGCTAGGTGACCTCTAACACCTGGTGGTACAAGTAACTTAACAGTAAGTGAAGACAGAGCGGTTTTCAGGTTTTTCCCTTTGTTTCATAGCCTAGAACATTCTGGATTTGGTGGGTTACTTTGCCCAGATATCCTTTAAGTTATTGTTCTTGAATTTCCTGCTAATGAGTAGTTAGATAATATTTTAGAGTCCACTTAGATTATGGGCAAGAATACAGTATATCATTGATATACTGTGTGTACTTCATATTCATCATATCAAAAAAGCAGCTGATTCTAGTTGACTATAACTTTTCTGAGGTAGAATTTACACAGAAGTCACCAGATTTACATGTATAGTTTGATGACTTTTGATGTGTACCAAAGAAATTGCCCAAGAAATGCCTTCTTGCCTCTTGTAGTCATCCCCTCCAACCTTTGCATTTGACTTAATATTCATCATTATAGTTTTGCTTTTCTAGGTTTTTGTCGTCTGAGAAGACATTTATAAATTTAAAGATTTTAACTGGCTTTATTTGATAGGTTAGAATCTTTATAAAATAGAAAAACCATTTTGAAGGACTGAGCATAGGTTGATTTTTTACAGACAGGAAAGTGCTGAAGAAACAAGAAAAAGATCGGTGACTTCAAAGTTAATCTAGTAAGGCGGGAACAGGAAAAAGAAGGAGAGAAAATGGTTAATATCAGGTTGCTTCACATTTTTTGGGGGAAGAAGTAATGTAGAGAGAACATTATGATGCTGATTTGGAAAATTTGGCTATTATTGCTGGCCCCCTTTTTCTTGGAAGTCCAGATAACAACTTAGTTTCTAAGTTTGATGATGTGGACCTTTAGTAAGGGTGATGCCATTTTGACTTTTGGTCTGGTCTGTTGGGGCCTACTGCGGGAGCTGAGTCTAAAACAAAGCCCTCTTTGAATCATTATTTAACAATTTAAAATGGAGCCTTATATATAGTATAGTAATTGCAATTGAAAGGAGTTTAGTATAAGGATTTAATTTTGGCCAGGGTCTGCAGGTCTAATTTCTTCCATTTTTATATGACAGGGACTTGCCATGAGGTGTTGAAGCCTTGTTTCACTGTGTCGGAGAGACTGGACCTAAATGGCGCAGCATGACTTTGCTCCAGCCTGGCTTAATTTTCCTACTCCACCATCATCAACAAAGGTACTCTTTACTGCATCTATGCCTCTTTTGCTCATGTTGTACACAAGAGTAATAGAAATGTGAAGGCTTGGGTTTGAGGTGTGGTTCAGTGTTAGAGCACTTGCTTAGATGTGTGAGGCTCTGGGTTAGATCCCCTGCAGCATAGCCAAAAAAAAAGGGTCTAGGGGCCGGGAATTTAGCTCAGTGGTTCCAGCAACTGCCTCGCAAGTGCAAGGTCCTGAGTTCGATCCCCGGTACCAAAAAAAAGAGGTCTAATTGCCTTGAACAGAAATACTGTACATTTATATTACTTCTTGTTATATGTAATTATTGGTTTATTAGTTTAAAAAAGTATTTCAGTGTACCATCAGCATATTAAACCATTTCCTTCAAGATTGCCTTCTGCAGTATTTGAGGTTCTACATATTTTAATTCATACCAGTCAAATATTGTGAATGTTACTTAATGTATTTTGCCTTTTTCAGATTTTTCATTACCTGATACTTCTCTGAAGTAGTGATAATACATATATGTTGTGCTCTAAAGCTTGCTAGGTACTTTACCAGACATTAAATTTGAGCATAATTCCATGGATGTAGTGATTAGAATTATTCCTAGTTCTTATTGAATTCATTTTAAATATTGACATGTTTTTCCACAGAGGAAAAGTAAAGTGATTGAGTTATAGTGTCAGGGCATGAGCACCTGTGATAAAGGTGGTTTGATGGAGTTCTCTTTGTCTTTCTCTGATCTGTGTGAAGATGTCTAACCTTTTATCACACCTATTTAGGTTCCATTAATTGTTGGTTGATTGCTGTATTACTTTCAGCAGTGCTCTGGGCATGAATTTCTCTTAGCTCTGATTTAATTTAATTAGTTTTGAGGCCAGATGACCCTGGTAGTGCTCATCTTAGCCACCTCTTTTCCCAGGCTCTCTGTACCAGCTAGCCTAATGGTTTAGCCTGTTCCTTTTCACTGAGAATATGTAACAACCTTTTCTTGTTTTTTGTGTCACTAAAAATCACCATCATTTCCAAGATCCTTCTTAGGCTTGAACTTTCTCATGCTGTGTTTCAAATAAAGTCAGTTCCTTTGAGGACTGCTTTTTACCATAGGCAGAATCTTCTTAGGTAGCTGGACCAAGAACAGATGAGGCCTTTATTGATTGGTTTGATGACTTTGGGATAGAGCCTCCATCTTGTATGAGGGGAATAGGAAGACGAGGAAAGGAACCCCTGATTTTTTGATTGCTCACCTGGATTTGGCCTCTTCACTTCTTCTTGGGGGAGATGAGGTCTCACAGTATTGGCATTCTGACTTTGCTAGTGAGCTAGAACTCCTTGTTTAGGAGACACGAGGACAGAAAGCCATGTCTTTTTGGAGACTTGTCTTAGTGCATGGAGCAGCTGGCAGGGATAGTAGGTTGTGGCTCAAGTACTACATATTCTTAAGAGTTCTTGAGTTTTAGGGCCGGGGACTTAGCTCAGTGGTTCCGTCGCCTGCCTTGCAAGCACAAGGACATGAGTTCGATCCCTGGTACCAAAAAAAAAAGTTCTTGAGTTTTAGTAGTTCTAAATAAGCACAACTAGCAAACTTAAAAACAAAACATTTAAACTTCGCATGATGTATATAATTAATGTGCTACAAATTTTTACTAATAAAAATTAAAAAATAATAAAAATTGCCCCAAGGGCACACAAGTAAATGAGACATTGACTCAAAATTAATATGTGTAATACATAGTAAGAATTTCTGTACTATTCTGATAACCTGTTTTACTTTTTCCCTGTATATAATGTGTTTTCTCTGTATCTGGAAGACTTCTATTTCATGTAAATAAGGCTTTGAATGGCATGTGGCTAAAATTTCAGGAGTGATGTGAACTTTGCCAGACTCACTAAGAAATGTTCCTTTTACTTAAAAACAAAACCATAATTTTTATAAATATGTTTACAAACATCCAAGACTGTTGTATGGAGTTGGCATCTGTTTTCAAGGTAAGAAAATTCTCCAGTGTGTAAGTGATGGGCTTTTTTTCCACACAGATTATGAACTTCTAGTGATCCCTTTGAACCAATAATAGTCTGATTGAAAACTGGAAAATACCAGTCTTTCTCTTTTGATAAATCATTTTGTTTAGTTTACCTTGTTAGTGGAGAAAGTTGTTTCAAGGGAACTTTCAATGGGCCGGCCTCTTAACATTGTCTAGTTTTCAGACATGTAAGTCAACCACAGACAGATGGAATGGTCTAAATAGTTGCTTCAAAATAATGAGGAAATTAGAAAAGGATCTGATAGTAATTAAGAATTTGACCCCTTATTTTTACAAAAGTAAATTGTTGATTATCTTTTTCATGAATAACAGTTAATAATTTCTTACCACTTGAGGTTTTTCATCATTTATATTTGGGTTCATTTAAGCTGTGTTCATTTTACATATAAAATTTATGTTGGCTTTTCTAGACTATAGAGAATGTGTTGTAGAAAACACTAGTTTTAGTAGATTTCCTCTCACTCTCTTTTGCCTATTCAAAAAAAGGAAAAAAAAAACTTTTCTTCTGTGCTATCAAATATGAAACATTTCTTTGACCAGATGTGTTTCCCCTATATATCAGCGTATACCAACTGGGTATACTGCAATTCATTTCAATTCTGACATTGTCTCCCCGTTTATCCAGATTGAAGTTTCAGTCCAACAAGACTTCCCCCACTCTTTGATGTCCATGGCAAGTGCCATGACACCTATACTTCTTTTCTTTTCTTTTTTTTGGGGATCAAACATGGGACCCTGGGCTTACAAGGCAGGTGGTGGAACCACTGAGCTAAATCCCTGGCCCCAACACCTGTACTTTTGATCAGCTGAGGATGAACCATGGTTCTTCTGGAACCCTGCCCCCATTTGATTAATTTGGTAGGATGACTCAGAGAGCTCAGAAATACTTTGCCAGTTTATTTTAAAGGATAGGGTAAAGTGTTGGACAGGGAGATTCAAAGCTTCCTGAGGCTATATGGGGAGGGGCTGCCACCCTAATTAACCTCATTAGCATAAGCCCAGGTGTGTTTAAGGGACACGTTATCAATAGCAAAAGATAATATAAATCAAGAATTCCTAGAGATTTTAAGAAGCCCCTGGAATCAGGGACAGAGACCAAATTTTTCTCACATTATACCACACACTGTCAGAATAAAGATCACCTTAATAATTTTTTTCTACAATGCTCTATACTTAAAATTATTCTAAAGGTCCCTTGTTTTATCTAACAAGTGATTTATTGTAAAGATGTTTCTGTATGGTGCATGAAGGAAGAAAAAATTGTTCAAATAGTGTGTACACGTCTTATGAAGCAATCTCAATTTTAGTGGTGATTTGAAACCAGAGAGACTTGGGATTTGGTTAGAAATAACCTACTTTTTTTTTTTTGTGGTGCTGTAGATGGAACCACAGAGCAACATGTACCAGCAATGTACCTCACTTAACAGCTACTTTGTTTCTTCTGTAGTGCAAAGGAATCAGGAGAGGGTCTTGATCATCTGCTTGGCTACTGATTAAGCTCTTTTACAGAGACACAGTGGACCCTCATGTTATGGCCAGCCTGACAAATGAACAACTTCGGTTATGACTGGAATTTTTGTTTTAGCTTAAGTCTCTAATTATAACCCAAATGCTGGCCGCTTGTCCTTCCAGATGATCTCAGATACAGATTTAACCCTTAAAGAGTTCTGGAAGGAACATTACAACATCCTTTCTTGTGCAGGCTTGAGAAATACTGGGCCAGTGTCTCTCTCTAAGGACACTGAGATCTGGCTGTTGTCAGGAGAGAGACTTTGAAGGCTATGCAGAAGAGCCTAAGCCTTCATTGACCAGCTTGAGTGACAAGCCTTCGAGAACGAATTGAGTTTGTAAGTCAAGGGTCCACTGCATTTATATAATACCTTTAGTTGTACAAACACTTCTTAGAAAAATTTATTAAAACCAGTTCTTAGACAGAACAATTTTATACTTTGGAAATTTGTTTTTCAAGAAGAATTTGTCAGGCTAAAATAAATGTGGCTCAGTATATTGAAAATGATTCATTGAGGTGGCAAAATTCTCAAGCCTTTAGAACTGTTTAGGAGAATTTGCCTTTCTATTTTATACAGGATTCCTTGGAAAGTTAATTTCACTTTCCTGTCTGTTTCCCCATGGCTAATTAGTTAGCCTGGACTAGAATCTAGAATACTTCTGCTACTCTGTGTTCTTTTCATAGGACTCATTTTGGATTTCTGTAAAATGACTGAAAATTCCTCTTCATAAGATTTAAGTAAAAAGGGACTTGAGAAATGGAGGCTTACTGGTTAAGCTACCAAGATCTCTTGTTACTCATCTTCTGTTCCCCTCTCCTGTAGCTCTCCACAATTTGCTTGTTTGCTTTTTTTCCTCCAGCTGCTTTTATCCTTTTACAAGAGGTTATTTTTTCTCAGGACAGAGGTGTACATTTCCTTCCTTCTTTTTTTTTTTTCAGTTTCTCTGAAGTATTAGGCTTATTTTAATTTTTAAGGAGTCTCATGGCTAACATAAAGAATACTAAAAACTAGCATCTGGGAAGTTAAGTTACAAACTCATGAAAACTTAATTCTTGTATTCCTTTAAATGTTAACTTGGAGTTAGTAGAGATAATTGTTGTTAATGTGTAGTGAAATCCTTACTGGTTATTAATCTGTACGGACTCATGAAATCCTTGCTGCTTATTAATCTGTACAGCCCCTCATGATGATCATGGTTTCAATGACTTGATTTTGAGAATTTGGAACTGCCTATTCTAAATTCTTCTAATTGAACATTATCTCCAGAAAGTGGTTATGAATCTTAATTCATAACTATAGCAATATTTTAGATTTTTTTTTTTCCTTAAAGTGGTTTTGGCAAACACAAGCACAGGCTTTTTAGTGATACTTTAAGTTATACCTTTTCTCTCCCTTATCCTTTCATTTTTCAAAATGACTGGTTGTGAATTCCCATTTATAATTAATCATTTTTTCTC